CCTACCTGTGCCCACGCAACCTAAACCCCAAACCTCTTTAAAGTCCAACCCAAGCCAAGCCTGTCAACTCTTGAGCTGGTCAGCCAACTCGCCTAACCGTAAATCCTCGGCTAGTAACATGCGTCTCAGCTGCATACCCCCCCCCCCCCCCCCCCGCCCCCAAGCCATAAACAAGGCCCCCTTTAGGAGGAAGCAGGCGCCCAAAAGACCTGGTTGTTTATGGCCCTTCGGAGGTTTCGGGGTGGGGTTGGGGGGGGGGGGGAGAGGTGACTGCCGCCTGCCGACCTTGAGCCCAAACAGAACATTGAGTATGTTGTACAAAGAGGCAAATATGCTGTACGTAGCAAAGTTTGGGGCATGGTCGCCATGCGAATTGGGCACTGCTAACCCGGCCCAAGACACAAAAGAAGAAAGACCGAAACGAATAACAAATAAGTAGTACAGAAACAAAGAAGGACCGACGTAAATTGGAAAAAAACATTCATTTGAGGAAGAAGGAGCCAACAACAGAAAGACCCGATTAGAGAAGGAAACAACCAAGACAAGAAGAGACAAGAAGACAAATCGATGAACGTACTGAGCAGAACGCTGTCATTTACAGTGTACAGTGCTTCTGGTTGCCTCTTTGAGCATCTTCAGCAAGCTGTAAGGAATCAAGAACCACACCCCAAACACTAACTTACACCCAAGCATTCCCCAAACTCCATCGATACCTCTATGCCCTTGTTTGGGAGGTGCCAGCTGCCAAAGGTAGAAGATTTCATTAAGGCGGGTTTAGGGTTTAGGGTTTAGGGCTTAGGGTTTAGGGTTTAGGCTCTGGCCGCCATTTCCTCAAGAGGAAGTAGTGCGTTCTTGTATGTCTCAAATTTCAGATTTTCGCAGTGCCGGATGCTAAATCTGCACGAAAAACATCGGGTTTTACGAGCTTTCAAACAGGGCCATGTGCTGTCTAATTTTCCTTGGTTGCCAGATAGTCTGCCCAGTTCCCCGCGCTTTAGTGTCCAAACCCGAGTGAAATCAATGTGCGCAGCAGTGTGCGTCCAGGTTTTTTGAGCGCCTGCGACCCGTTAGGAGAAAGGGGGGGAGGGAGCCCCAAACCCCAACACCCCGTAAAGTTTCCAGATCGATTGGACCCAACCCTAGAAGCCCTAAATGGGTAGAAACCCCCCTAAAAACCGAGCCAGGCTTGCGTCGGGCGCGAAGGACATGAGGAGCAGGACAATGTACCTTTCAAACGTGGCTCTAGATTCTAGATGTTTTGATTGGGGGATACAGTAAACCCCGAAAAGTTGGAAACCTCTTTAAGGACAAATAGTGCTGAGATTCCCTATATACTTTACTCTTAGGGATTGAGGCTATTGAGTTTCCAACTTTTTGGAATCTAGTGTATAGGGCCCAGGGTATTCCCTAAATTCTACTGTGCTCGAGACCGGTTGTGCATCTCAGGTGGCGGGTCTATTGCTTCATGGCTTGTTGGTACATGGGTGTTTGAGACAAAGTTGAGGTCCTTTGGGGGGCATGGGGGCGGTGGGGGTGGGAGGTGGGAGCATCACGGGCCCAATCGCCAGCCCTGAACAAAAACCCTCGGCTTATTTAGGAATGAGGCTAACCCGCCCACCGAAACCCCAGTCGTCCCAAGCAAGCGGGGTCAACTATGCCATAATTGCCGGGCATCTTACCCAGCTTCTTTAAGGGTCTCAAGCTACTGTAGCGAACACAGCCAAAAAGAGTTATGGAGGGCAGGAAGCTCTCGCACACCCAGAATGTGACCCTAAACCCTCAACCCCCCTGCATAAACCCGAAGCACTGACCCTCAACCCTGAAACCCTCAACCCGGAAGCCCTGAGATCCTGAACAAAAAACCCTAAACCCTAAAACCCTAAAACCCTAAAACCCTAAAACCCTAAAACCCTAAAACCCTAAAACCCTAAAACCCTAAAACCCTAAAACCCTAAAACCCTAAAACCCTAAAACCCTAAAACCCTAAACCCTAAACCCTAAACCCTAAACCCTAAACCCCTTGGGCGCCTTCGAGCAGCCATCTCATATGGGGACTCATAGTCCTGGCAGGCGGCAAAAGTTCCTAAGGGAAGTAGGTTCGGGTGTAGGAGCTTAGGTCTTTAGGGCTTTAGGGCTTCAGGGCTTTAAGCTTTAGGCTTAGGGCTACTTAGGGCTTTGGGTTTGGCTCCTGAAGGGAAGTAGCATGTAGTCCATAAAGTTGCCCCCCCCCCCCCCCCCCCCCCTCCGGACCCCCTTCCCCTCCGCCCACACACACACGCACACGAACACAAGCACACGCAGCACACACGGCACACACAGCACACACAGCACAAAAACAACAAAGAAGCAGTACGTCAGAGTATGCGTGCTCACAGAGAAGTTACTCTGTCGTCAGCTTGCAGGGTGTTTTTTCGGCAATGGTCTAGTACGTACTGTTTCTTGTGAGGGCGGGCTTGCATGGTTGCACATACCTGCTGGTTCTCAAGAGGGATGTCGGGAATCAGATGTAGCGGTCTTCCTTTCGACCTCGGAGAACTGTCCATCTGCCATTCATCCACGGCAGTTCTACGCACAAAGCAGGAGGTCCGACATGGGGGTTTCCGAGAGGAGGGGGTGCCCTTATAATGAGGATTCTAATATTTTGGGTATATATTCAGGGTGCCCCTATTTGGGGAAATACCCACATTTCGAGCGCTTTCGGGCGACTTCCTGGGTGGCAGAGGTTCACCTCGGGTTCGGAAGCTGAAGTCCGCATCCTGTCTAGTGCACTTGCAAGCCAAACTGTCCCCGGCCCTATGTGAGAGAAGTGTAGATCGCTCCAGGGGGTGTTCCTAGGATGGCCCTTAAAACCCTCCGAAAAATATTCCTGAAGAGGATCCTCTTAAACCCAATAAGGGAAAATATAAAACATCCCAAAGGCCTACCTAGGTAAGTAGATAGGCATACATCTTTGACTATCTCAGTTGATAGACGGGGGTTTACGATCTTGGGGGGTCCCTTCTGGGGGGCCTTATGAAAAGGGGATCCTACTATTTGGGGGTCTATATTAGGGGTCCCCTATCCAGGTAAAGTTCCAAACTGCAACATACTTTACTGTAAGCCCTGTAAGACCCATAAGTCCTATGAACCCTGCATCATGCTTTTTGCCGTGCACCTCATCATCGTCGTCATCCGCCAGGCCAAACCCGCCCATGGCCTGCGTTTGGTCGATGGCATCGGGTGAGGGTTTAGGGTCTAGGGTTTCGGGTTTGGGGTTTGGGGTTTGGGGTTTCGGGTTCAGGGTTTTGGTTTCGGCACTCCGTTTGCCCAGACAGCATGGCAGCCCAGCAACCATGTCTTAGCACGGGTACCCCGAAACCCCAAGCCCTAAACCCCGAAACCTCGTTGGGGCTGGCTGCTGCTTGCACAGGGATTCCCGAGCACTTTAAACGGGCAAAAAAGGGGCACGTATCACTCAGCCTCAGGGGAGTTGCGCCTCGGCCTCTTTTCCCCCTGCTGGGTTGCCCGAAACCCTGGGAATGAAAGGATGCCCTTGCTATCTTGGATATGTTGTTCGCTTGGTAGAGCTCATAAAGGAGCCTAAAACCCCCCAAAAAAACGAATGAAAACAAATAAGGGTGTTACTCGGCGTCCTAGGAGAGTTGTGCCTTAATCCCTTTCAAGAACAGAACACAGGCAAAAACCAATTCTGGCAAGAAGGGCCCGGAAGGTTTATACCCCGAAACGGAAGGTTTATACCCCGAACTTGAGATGTTCTCCCCCTATAACAACAGTCCTTAATAGGGATTGTTCCCGGATTTTAATAGGGGTACTGTATTCCGTACTAAAAGGACTGTTAGCTTAAGGGGGAACATCTCAACCCCGAACCCTAAACCTGCGTTCGCGGACCTCGGCGAGGATGGATTTAGCGATCTGCTTCTCATGCAGCGCCTTTCATTTCGGGTTTAGGGTTTAGGGTTTAGGGGGGGGGGGGGGGGGGGGGGACGATGAGATCGTGTGTAAGTAGTTGTGCAAGGTTTTCTGGCGGCAGACCAAAGCCATCCCTAAACCCTAAACCCAATAAACCCTAAGTCCTAACGGCCCTGAACCCTTAACCTTAAACCCTACCCTTTACTTGCAATCCCAAGCTCCCGAGTTTTTTTAACAAACCCAGAACTCGAAACTCCGAAGCCTGAACCTAAATCTACAAAACGACAGTCCAAACACTTGTGCTTTCTGGCTCTTAGGGCCTCTCACCATTCCCTTCATGGAAATATGGGGGAGATACAGGGACCTAGCTACCTAAGCACAAGGACTCAGGCTAAGCCTCTTCTCCAGTTCGCTCCCAGGATTGGGCATTGGAGAGGAGCGCGTGTTGACAGCGGGGTCTAGGGTTCGGAAGTTCCCCATAACTTCTAACCCTAAACCCTATAAACCCTATAAGCCCTAATAAACCCTATAAGCCCGAAACTATGATAGGTTAGGGTTTAGGGTTTAGGGTTTAGGGTTAGGGTTTAGGGTTTAGGGTTTAGGGTTTAGGGTTTAGGGTTTAGGGTTTAGGGTTTAGGGTTTAGGGTTTAGGGTTTAGGGAGAAGGTTTAGGGTTTAGGGATGATAAGCCGCTAGGTGCCGACACCGCTGCCTGGTATGAGTTCAGCAATGGCTCGATGGTCTGGGAGATGGCCTGTTCCACACGCTTGCTGCATGCTGATGAGGGTCTAGGGTCTAGAGGGTCTAGGGTCTAGGGTTTAGGGTTTAGGGTGTGTGTGTGTGTCCACTCTTCCGCACGGAGGGTGCGGGTTGGCTCCCTGGGGCAAGGGGCGGCCGATGGCATTTAAGGTATGTTAGGAACTGAAGGCAGTGGCCCCCGCGCACCTGCGCTCCACCCTGAAAGCCGGGGAGGCTCAGGAGAAGCACAGTGTGGTAGAACTGCCTCTTCTTTAACTCCCAAGCCGCTGCGCACCCCAGTATTGAGAGTGGTGCCTGTCCAGCTTTACTGCCCAGCTTACTACGGCCCGAAAACCTGTGGCTGTGGGGGAGCAGCCGATGATGGACCTGCACAGGTCTGCTGGCGTAAGCTCGTCTGCAGCTAGGCCCAGCGACTGGCAGACTTGCTGCCTCTGGCTCAGCCAGTGGTCACACACTGCCATCACATGGACCCTAGCTGCCCTGGTCCTGCGGCTGCAGCAGATGCATCGCTGGATCTTCGCTGCGCTTGGCCTCCCGTTCAAAGAGCTGAGTCGCAGAGAACCTGCCCTGAGCCTGCAGAGAGAGGATGCCCATTCTGGTGTCCCATGGCAGCATTTGTGCAGCCACGGTCTCGGGGATGCGGCTGTGCACTGCCTGAAAACTCGTATAGGCGGGAGGTTGCTGGGAGAGCTCAGCTTCCTTAAGCCAAGAGCCAAACCACGCCATCTCCAAATGCTGCCGAGCGTAGGCTCGGTAGTCACAGTGTGGCGACTTCCACTCCATCCAATCCACGAGGCCCCAGCTCTCAATGAGGTTGAGGCTCTTGCAAGCCCATGATTGTCCTACTCCGTGACTCCACATGAACCTAGTCTTGTAGAGGTCTCCATCTGGAAGCTGCCTAAACCCCTAAACCCTTTAAGTTAGCAGCTGCTCGACATTGTAGTCTGTTGTTGACGGAAGTCGTTGCTTGTTCTCGAGCCTTCATGCAACAAGGTCCTCGTTTTCGCCTCTAACCCTAAACCCTAAACCCTAAACCCTAAACCCTAAACCCTAAACCCTAAACCCTAAACCCTAAACCTTGCACTGGCGCGATGCTCTGAGTTCCCGGCTTTTAAGCCCAGCTTGGTGTCGTACTTCTCGGTGGCCTTCTCCTCCCAGATGCCGGGCGGGATGCTTCGTTTAGGGTTTAGGGTTTAGGGTGTAGGGTGTAGGGTGTAGGGTTTAGGGTTTAGGGTTTAGGGTTTAGGATTTAGGGTTTAGGGCAACGCTCGACCCAAGAACCCCCAACATTCAGTGTAGGACTTGTCAAAGTACATAGGGTTTAGGGGGCATATGCTTTAGGATTTTATATGCACATATATATATATATATAGCATATATATATATATATATATGTATAGCTATTCTTGGGCTTGGGGTTTGTATCCCAGGGCTCCGAAACCAAAGGTCGTGTGGGTGCAGGCTCCATCGAACCCGAGACTCCGAAGCCTGAAGCCTCACTTGGAAGCTCTTGCGGCTTAGAAAGTCTACCTAGTACCCCCTAGAAAACCCTACGAGAATCCCCAGAAGCCGACTTGCAAAGTCAGAAGGACTTCCCTTATGATCCCCCGGATCCGGAAAAGCTGAAACTTTTGGGTGGAAAGAAGGCTGCTCGCCTGTTCACCGCTGCGAGCTCATCCCGACCATCGGGGAGCCCTAGACCCCAAACCCCATAAACCCTAAACCCTAAACCCTAAACACTAAACCCTAAACCCTAAACCCCAAACCCCAAACCCCAAACCCCAAACCCCACCACATGGGGCTGCTTGGGGTTCACAGGGGTCAGGGAGCACCCTGAAAGCCTAGGGTCTAGGGTCTAGGGTTTAGGGTTTAGGGTTTAGGGTTTAGGACTTGGTTTGGGGTGTAGGGTTTAGGGGTTTAAAGATTCCAGGGAGGCCTGATTCTGTCCCCTCCCTAGCAGGAGGTAGAGCGAGAGCATCTCGAAGCGCAGGCAGCACCTCATTTTTGGCTTAAGTATCTTCGGCTCTGCGGTTCAGCTTTGTTAGAGGGTTTAGGCTTTAGGGTTTAGGGTTTAGGGTTCAGGGTTTAGGGTTTAGGGTTTAGGGTTTAGGGTTCAGGGTGAATATTAGGTTCTGGGGTGTTTGGTTTAGGGTTGCAGGGGCCCATTCATTCGACATGAATGTTTCTGAGTAGGCTGCATGATCACACAAGGGAATCGCATTGGACATGGCTTAGGGTCCTGTAGTAAGGCTTAGTAGTTATGTTTAGGTCGTGGAGAGTATTCAGGGCTGAGGGCTTCGGAGATGTAGGGGAACACAAGGTTTCGGCTTAAACCACCCTGAACACAAAACCCTTAAACGACTCGAAGCCAACAATAAACCCTTTCCTTCATTTTCCCTTTACCCCCAACCCCCAAACTCGAAACCTTACATGGTGCCCAGGACATAGGCAACCGGGGCGCTCGTGCGTCTCTACAAAGACTTGCTGGGTGGTGGATCTAGGTTGCTGAAGGTGCAGATCGACCTTAGCAACTTCTCCGGCTCTCAGCTCCCTCTTTCTCCCTCTCCCTCCCTCTCTCCCTCTCTCTCTCTCGTGCTCGCTCGTTCCAAGCACGTTGTCCCCTTTTTGCAAACTCGTAAACTAGAGTCTTCTTTCTTGGAACGGCTGTGTAGCAACAGGCGGTCGTAGAACTGACCGTGCCAAAAAGGTTTTGGGGGCTGCAGGATCTTCTAGCAGCATTTCTTGCTGCTTTCCAGCCATCGGACTCTAAGGGCATTGGGTTTGTAAAGGGCTCAGGGCTTCTGCCTCTTGAGATCTTCAAGAGTCCTAAAGGACGCGGTAGGACCTGAGACATCAAGGCGTAAGGCGTGAGGGCATGTGTGCTGCTTGCTGTGGTGTTCTTGCGGCCCAGTGGACGAGCCCAAGAGTTTTGGTGTTGGGCACTGTGCTATCACAGGAAGGGTTGATTTGACATTCGGCTCGCTGCTAGTCATTCGGCTCGCTGCTAGTCATTCGCGCGCGCATGTGTGTGTGTGTGTGTGTCTGTGTGTGTGTGTGTGTGTGTGTGTGTGTGTGTTTGTGTCTGTGTGTGTGTGTGTGTGTGTGTGTGTCTCTGTGTGTGTGTGTACTCGTGGGGCTGTGCCTTATCCAATATTACACCCTAAACCCCAAACCCTAAACCCCAAACCCCAAACCCTAAACCCTAAACCCTAAACCCACTTCTTCAGCCCTCTCTTCTGCATCCCCCGGCTTGGAGTGTCTGAACGCCTTCATGGCTGATCGTGGGGGAAATGAAAGAAGTCCTACATCAGCTCCCCTACTTGGCGGAGGGCGACAGGGAAGAAAGAAAACAACCTCTGCCTACAACTTCCCAGCTTCACCCTAAATCCTAAACCCGAAACCCTAAACCCTAAATCATCCTAAATCCTACACCTTAAACTCCCTAAAACCCTCAAAAAGGAGCTCAGAGGTTGCCACTCTGATTGATCGCGTGCGGTCGCGCAGGTAGGAGTAGACCTGCCGCAGGCGGGGTCTAGGGCTTAGGGTTTCGGATGTTTCCGGGCACCTGGCTTCGGACCTCACATGGGCTTTGTCTAGGATGGCCCTTAAACGCGTTTAGGATTTATAGGGTTTAGGGTTATAGGGTTTATAGGGTTTATAGGGTTTATAGGGTTTATAGGGTTTATAGGGTTTATAGGGTTTATAGGGTTTATAGGGTTTATAGGGTTTATAGGGTTTATAGGGTTTATAGGGTTTGTAGGGTTGAGGGCCCTTAAAGCCCTCCGAAAAGATTCCTACATACCAACCATCCTCTTCAGCCCTTTAAGGGAAATATGACATATCACAAGGGCATAGCTAGTTTTCAGCCTCCTGATACGGACATATAGGCTGAGCCTTTAGTTGGTTCTATCTAGGGCATCCTAGATCCCACAAATGGCGGTTCCATCCCCTTCAAGGCGGCTTGATAGCCTAGCACTAAACCCTAAACCGTAAACCCTAAACCCTAAACCCTAAACCGTTCAAGGACAAGGATGCGCGCTCCCACAGGAACATCTGCCCAGGCCCAAAATGGGTGCTTACGATACTCGGGGCACCCCGCCCCCCCACAAATCACGACATTGTGTCATAACCCGAAAGCCTAAATCCTAAACACCCTCCCAGACCCCTGGTAGGATCCAAAAAGTAGATCACCTTCATGGTTGCCTACAAATAGCCCAATTTTGATTACTTTGTGAGTTCTACTAAGGCTCCTCCGAGGATTCTGGGGCTGACAAGCCCTAGAAACCCTTGAACCCCCTAAACCCTAAACCCTGGAAACCCCCAAACCCTAAACCCTAAACCCTAAACCCGAAACCCTTAACCCTAAACCCGAAACCCTAACCCTAGAAACCCCCAAACCCCCTGTGCAGCCTCGATGTATGGGATGGCTTGGACAGCAAAGCCAGGTTTCGGGTTGCTGTCGAAGTCCAAGATCTCCTCCCGAAACTCCAGGGCTTTTTGGAGGTCTTATACCCAGCCCCTAAACCCTAAACCCTAAACCCTAAACCCTAAACCCTAAACCCTAAACCCTAGACCCTACACCCTAAACCCTAAACCCTAAACCCTAAACCCTAAACCCTAAACCCTAAACCCTAAACCCTAAACCCTAACCCCAGCCTTTAAGAAACCCAAGAAACCCAAAACGGCTAAGGATCTAAAGGTACAGTAAAGCACCACAGAGGAAGGCGCTTAGTTGCCCAAAGCCCTGGCCCAAAAATATTAGACTTTGTTTTTAGGAGGGGTTTAGTATACCCAAAAAGTTTAAAGTTCACCTGTTGGGCCCCTACCCAGATCCCCGGGAGGATCCAAAAAGTAGAAGCCCCCAAGAAGTACCCCACACTACTATTGGATCATGGTTAGGAACCCTTAAGGGGATCTACTTTTTGGATCCTCACTGCGGTCCTTAAGGGGATCTACTTTTTGGATCCTCACTACGGTCTGTTTTGTTTGTTTGCTTTTGGCGCTTTGCGGGTCTGTGCCATAGACCCGCACCCATAATGGGTTTAAGGGTTCTAAGGGTTTTGGGCGTTGAGGGTCTCTGGGGTCAACGGTCACGGGCTTAGGATCTATAGGGGTGTGGCAGGTGCGGAACTTGGGGCCTAGGTGCCCTCCGAGGCATGGGCCGAAGAATGGCAAGCTTGAGGCTTGGTTCTATGGGTTGGCTCTGGGTCTCGTGCATTTTATGTTTTTACGTACTTGCTTCCTGAAGCCCCGCCCCCGAGATGGTAGTGGTAGATACCGGCAGCTATAACTGACAACGCCACATGTCCTTCTTCAACTGATTTGTGAACCTCCCGGTTAGCGTACACGATTTCGGGTCAAGAGCTGTGGGTGTGAGGTCTACTTTCTTCTGGCCTGGGGCTTCTTTCCACCAGGCTCTAGGGGTGTAGGGCAAAGGGCATTAACGTTCGATGTCTATAACCCCTACACCCCTAAACCCGATTCTACCCAAGCTGCGACCTGGTCTTCACTCCACAAACAGAACGAAAGACATGTAGCCAGCGGCTCCTTCGTCAGGTACTCCATTGTCTTCCAGCACGCTTCCAAGGATCTTACATCCTGGCTTCTGTAGGCCTGGCACAAGAGACCCCTAAAAACCCTACAACACCAAACCCTCAATGAGCCGCAACCCCCACCCCTCTCTCGAGCTGTCGGACATGAAAAAAATCCTCCGAACCCTTGCAAAGGAGAAAAGAGTTTTGCAGAGGATCGAACGATCCAAGTCAAACCATCTGATGGCAACCTCGGCATGTTTGAGGCTTCTCGCAACACGGGCGTCCCCACAAAGCACAGAATTTCCCGAAACCCTAAACCCTAAAACCCTAAACCCGACACCCTACACCCTAAACCCTAAGCCCTACGCCCTAAACCCTACACCCTACACCCTATGAGCCTTGAACCCGAAAAACACAAAACCCAAAAAGCCCTAAACCCATCTGAGGCGCCTTGTCAGCCGAACTTCGCTGATACTTCTTCGTGGCCAACTTGAGGTCCACCTGATACGCTGATGTGCAGAGCTGCGGGCAGAGAAGCTTCTTGTGGTGGTTTAGGGCTTAGGGCTTAGGGTTCGTGGCTAAGGGGTTTAGGGTTTGAGGTTTGGGGCTTAGGGCTTAAGGTTAAGCAAGGTTTCGGTCATGGGCTACGACAAGCAGCATGGAGTAGGACCGATGTGTGGCTGTATGGATGCAGAAGTATACGTATGGATGTCTGCAGGCGCGCATGTCTGCATGCATGCACTCATACTATGTGTGTGCAAGGTGTGCATGTGCATATACAAGTATTCATCAACGATTGGGGACAGCTACACATAAACACGCATGCTTTACGCACAAACATGGGAACCGGTGAGCACAAACATGATTGAACAAACCCCAACCTCCCCAACCCCCCTCCACGACCACCACCCTAACCACCCTAAACCCTAAACCCTAAACCCTAAACCCTAAACCCTAAACCTAAACCCAAAACCTAAACCCAAAACCAAAACCCTACCCCCCCCCCCCCCCCCCCCCCAAAAAAAAAAAAAAAACGGCCTCTGGGTTCTTAGGGTCGGTCCCCTTCTTCCACTCGAACTTATCCAGCTGCCGCGTCATCTCGCGCTCGCGGGCCTAAGGGGAGCATCTTCCACCCTTTGGGAGGATCCAAGAAGGGTTTAGGGCTTAGGGTTTTGGGGTTTAGGGAGGTTTAGGGCTTATATCCCCTTCAGCATCTTCCCAGACCCCCTCGGGAGGATCCAAAAAGTAGAACCCCCCAAGTAGTTTCCAGAGCTCATCCCAGAATCCCCGAACTTGTTAGGGATTAACATGCCCAGTCTAATCGCGCATGCCCCCACCTAGGACCTAGGACCCCACACCCAATACCACCAGAAGAACCATCAGAAGAGCCACCAGAAGCACCACCAGAAGAACCACTTAAACATTTTATGATCGCTAAACGCTTTTTGTAGTAACTTGATTGTTTATGCTGGATTTAGTTTGGTTTGCTGTTTCTTGCTTTTGCCGCTGTTTTGTATGAGTTTTTACTGTCTCAACAATTTTAATGTTGAATACAAATAAACGCCCAGAAAGTCGCTAATGTTAACCTCACATCTATAAATGGGGTGGCAACTGTAATATTTCGCCGGGCCAGAGGGGCTCAGCCGAAGACTACTTTCCATTACGGGAGGTTTTCGGGCCGATGTGTGTAAACAAGTCTATATAGGGGGGTCCGGTGAAAATCCGCCGACCCCTGCTTTAGCGGGGGAGGCGTCGTGAAGACCCATTTGCCCTCATGCCCAAATCCCCCCGCCCTCACCCCCTCGACCTCACCCTTACCCTGTTAGGGGCTCCAGCGCATGCCCGGACCCCCCCCCCCCCCCCCCCGCCCACCCCGCCCACCCGCCTCCCCCCTTCCCCCACCCCCCCGCCCTCACCCTTATACCCCCCACCTCACCCGTGTGTCAGGGGTTTAGGGCATGCGGACCCCTACCCCCCACCTCAGTGCATGTGCGGACCCCCCTGCCCCCCCCCCGCCCCTTTCCGCCCACCCCGCCCACCCCCCCCCTTCGCCAATTTGGGCCCCGCTCCCCCCCCCCCCCCCCCCACCCCTTACCCAGCTCAGGAATTTAGGGCATGCCCGGGCCCGGACCCCTACACCTCACCCCCACCCCTTGAAATGAAGTGTTCAAGGGGCTCCAGTGCCCCCCCCGCCCCCCCCACCCCCCCCCTCCCACCCCCGCCCACCCCGCCCACTGCCCCCGCACCTCCCCCCTTCTCACGCCTTTGCCTCTCACAGTGCGTGCCCGGACCCCCCCCGCCCCCCCCCTCCCGCCCCCCCCCGCCCCCACTCCGCCCGCCCCGCCTTCACCCCTTCACCTCTGCCCCCACCCCCCCCCCCACCCCCCCGCCATCACCGGTTCGGCTCTCCTGGTTAAGGGGGTTGAGGGTTTAGTGGGGTTTAAGGGTTCAGGGTTTCGAGTTTAAGGTGTGAGGTTTAGGGTTTAAGGTTGCGCGCCAACTCCCTGCGCGTGAAGACTCAATGTTTCGCCCCCCCTGAACTCTAGAACCTATGGATATATGTAAGCGCAATGTAGGGGGTGTTTGTGTAAACCCTAGGGCCTCCTGTCGGGGTCGGCGGCATTGGCGGTAGCCATTAAATAATAATGGGGTGACAACAGTAATATTTGGCCGGCCAGGATCAGAAATTTTACTTGCAGAGAAGACTTTTCGAGCTCCGTGGCAGACCCTGACAGCTAACCCCCCCCAAGACCCCCAGAATCCGCATTATTGGCACCCACTCGTTTTTTTCTACCCCTCCAAACCCCGGGGACCAAAACAAGTTTTTTTTTTGGGGGGGTTATTAAAGCGACGTTAACATTACACTTTTTACCTTCGCGGCGAGGTCGAATCTACAAGCATGTAAAACATCTAAAAGATAAGTGTAGCGCAGCGCATAAGTCAGCGAGGAAGCTTCACTCAAAGTGACATGATTGCTGCTATGAAGAAGCCGGAGGCACCATGAGCGGCGTTTTTTGTTCGGTGATGTTTTTGATGGAAATCTTTTTCCTTCCGCGGAACCCTTCTGCTCACCTTCCGCGGACTTCCGCGCCTCGAAAAGTAGCTTCCGCGGGGCGTGTTTTTAAAGCGTCCTTCCGCGGACCCTTCTGCGGAGCCATTTCGCGTGAATTCGTACAGTTCCGGAACGACAGTCGATGTTGAAACCGAGCTTGCACACTGTCCACAAACGACTTTGAAAGCATCATGGCATGGATCTAGGACAACGGCACGCATGTTTCAAGGGGTTTGCGGCGATATGTTACATTAGAAGTATTCTCGCTGCGCGCGTGTTGCCTTAGTCCCTCTACAGCTTTGAAGATAGGATGTTTGGCTGCAACGGTCATTTCTCAGCTGGCGGGCGCTGCCGGCTCGGAGGAGTCGGTGCTCGAGGAGCTGGAGCTGGAGGAACTACTGGAAGAGTCTGAGTCTGAGTCTTCCCGGTCCTCTTTCAGCGCAGCCAGTTTGCGTTTTTTTTTTTTTTCTCTCGGGCCTGCTTCTGGATTTGGTGGACCTTCGATCGGATTTTGTCCTGCCGAGTGCGTTTCGGGCCAGGCAATACATCAGGAAGGAACATCTTTTGCTCAGTCCAATGCCTGGTAACCTCGTTCGAATCGCCGGGCATCCTCCCACGCTCGCGGCTTGTCATAGTACCCTCTTCGCCCTGTCTTCATCAGGCTGCTATCCATATTATGTTCAGCCAGGCATGCTTCTTTGCAGGCATCTAGGGGGTTTGCCAGCGAGGTGCATAGCACAAGCGATCTTGCCGTTGTCGTCGTTGTCGTCGCTGGCGTCGTTGATGCACACGTGAATGCAGTGTCACAACACGGCATCACTACCCCCGATGGGTCAGCCGTTTTGCGCACCCAGGCCGAGCAAGTACAGTCGCTTTTTTCAAGGCTGCCACTGCCGGTTTGCACGGCGGGATACTTGCTCGTGTCGTTGTACACGGCCTGGCATTGGCTGGCGCACTCATTCAGAGACGTCACGTCGCACGGCGGGAGGGAGACATTCATACTGCTCACCGCCCATCCGTTGAGGAGAAGAGCGAAGATCGACCAAGCAATTTCTTGGGTATGCTGTGCTTTCAAAAGTATACTACCAAAAAAAGGCTGTCACAGCCAGTCGCTTCGGCAAGTAGCTGGTACTTGTAGGGGTAGTAGGTGTGGGGCCCTAGGTGCGACCCTACTGGACATGTTAATCCCTGACTGAATTCTGGGGTTTCGATTTAGGGTTTAGACTTTCTTTAAGGGGTTCCTAAAAATGTCCCGGTAGAAGTATCGGGTACTATTTGGGGGCGGGGTTTGCCTGTTTGGAATTTGGGGGTTTGTTCAAGGTTCAGCATTTGGGGTTTAGCGACTCTGGGTTCGGGGCTTACTTGCTTCTCCAATAATAACCAAGGGGGAAAAAAAGGTTAAACTTTACTATTCCTACTAAATAAGGAAACCCAAAACGTTTATAAAGTTCAACTATTGGCTGAGTAAGCTTAGGGTTTGGGGTTAGGGCTTAGGGGGCTTCATGTAACGATAGGGTCCAACAAAGCTTCAGATGGTTGTTTCTTTAGAATATGGTCCCTTTTTTTTTGGGGGGGGGGGGGGGGTCCTTATTATACTATTTAGGGTACACAAGAAAGGACCCTACCGAGGAGAACTGACCATATGGCTCACTGCTACTTGTATAGTAGGGTTTGAGATGTCATGAGCTTGCGGTTTAGGGTTTAGGGTTTAGGTTAGGGTTTAGGGAGTAAGTCCGAGCCCACGGCCTCCTCGCGTGAGCACATGTCTGTGAGCTCCCCGATGATGGGCCCGCCATCGAGGCCTCCACCCTGTGCGGCTTAGGGTTTAGGGTTTAGGGTTTAGGGTTTGGGGTTTAGGGTTTAGGGTTTAGGGTTTAGGGTTTAGGGTTTCGCGTTTCGGGTTTAGGGTGACCCACGAAGGACACACGCACACACAGACAGACAAAGTTTCGGAACAAAGCAACTCGGGACCTCTGCATCATTGAAGCTGACCATGGCAACCTGGCATGAAGTTGGAAGATGCATCAGCCTAGACCCTAAACCCTGAGCGCTAAACACCCTAAACCCTAAACCCTAAACCCTAAACCCTAAACCCTAAACCCGAAACCCTAGGCCGAAGTGTCAGGCCTGCAGCAGTTGAACAAGCAACTCTATGGTACTGGCAGGGCCCTTTCGTGAACAACATAGCCATCTTGCCTTCCCAATGACTCGCAGAGGAGGTGCCCTCCGCAACAAAACAATAAATAATAGAAGTAAGACTATATTGACTATAATACTTCAAGAATAGTTAGAAGACTACAAGAATATACTGATGTACGAGTACATTTCTATAAGAATATACGAATGTACTACCATAACTATATAACATAGCAATTTCACACAATAGCATTTTTGAGAACGTGAGAATATATTAGCATATCATACAGCTGAACAACCAAGAGCTCCCTTCTTAAAATGCTGCCGCAAAGCATCTTCACCCCCAAGTCCTCTTGCATCGCCATCTTCCCAAGAGAGTCCCTCAAACCCTAAGCTCTAAACCCTAAACCCTAAACCCTAAACCCTAAAACCCTAAACCCTAAACCCTAAACCCTAAACCCTAAACCCTAAACCCTAAACCCTAAACCCTATACCCTACTCTAACCTCCCACCCCTAAAGCCGAAACGAGCCGAAACAATCCCCCACGCATTTCAAAGCGCTCGCCAGCTGGACGGGTGCCTTCTCATTCCTTGGTAGCCCAGTAACCAGATTACAAAAAAGGTTTAGGGTTTAGGGTTTAGGGTTTAGGGTGTAGGGTTTAGGGTTTAGGGTTTAGGGTTGCTTACTTTATAAGGGAACCTTGAACCAAACAAACAGGGAAAAGGGCACCATTGGGCTGCCAAGATTCAGATGCCTCTGGAACCGCGCAGCACGCTGCGCCCTCATGTCCTTGTCGCCCTGCGCGAGGATGAGCTCCGGTACAGTTTGTGAGGGAAGCCCCCTAAACCCTAAACCCTAAACCGTAAACCGTAAAAACATAAACCCTAAACCCCAAAACCCTAAACCCTAAACTCCTAAACCCTAAACCCCTAAACCCCTAGACCCTAAACCCTAGACCGCAGCAGTGTTCAGCAATGTGCACCTCTGGAACTACTACAGGAACTCAACGGAAGTAGGTTGCCAATTTCTAGTGGCAGTGCTCAGGATGTAAGGGGCAGGCAGTGTTTGGGTTTAGGGTTTAGGGTTTTGGGTCTAGGGTCTAGGGTCTAGGATCTAGGGTCTAGGTCTAGGGTCTAGGGTTTAGGGTTTAGGGTTTAGGGTTTAGAGTTTAGGGTTTAGGGTTTAGGCGGGCCACCTACCTGATCTCCCAGTACCAACTGACCCTTCCAGGAACTAAGTCTCGGCTTAAGGGGGTGCGCAGGGCTTCGGGTTGCAGAGGGTCGAGACCTCTGGCCAGCTCACACGACCTCGTCTTCCAAACCCTAAACCCTAAACCCTAAACCCTACACCCTAAACCCTAAACCCTAAACCCTAAACCCTAAACCCCTGACTTCAAGCATGATTCCTTAGTACCGCCTCAGGGTTCGGGTCTAGGGTTCTTGAAGAGGGCCCGAAACCCTGAAACCCCTACAAACCACAAAACCCCTCATGCCGCAAACTGCAGTTCTGAATCTCCAAACACCTCTGTGTCAACCCTAAACCCTAAACCCTAAACCCTAAACCCTAAACCCTAAACCCTAAACCCTAAATTCAGCAACTGCACTCTACAAAGACCGAACCCTGAAGTGCCTCTGAAGCCCCAAAAACACTCCAAGTCCCTCTAACCTTCAAGCCGCAGAATGCCAAACACCCGCCGTACATCTCAAAACTAAACCGTAAACCCTGAACCCTAAACCCTAAACCCCCCCCTCTCCCCCCTTCTTCTCGGTCCTGCGCCAAAGACCGGCTGCTGAACTGCTCCTCTGCCTCCTTCGAAGGCCAAGCTGCCTCACGGCCGGCCGACCGAAATCCGGAATTTGAGGGCTTGTAGGGTATATCATAGGGCTTGTAGGGTATATTATAAGGCTTAGAGGGTATATTATAAGGCTTATAGGGTATATTTTTGGGCTTAGGGTCCAGGCTCCGGGTTTTGCCTTATTGGCTGCACTTAGGACGGTAGCTACAAATCAAATCTTTAGCTGCCTTACTAGGCTGCGGATCTAAAGTTACAGTAAAGCTCCACAAAGGCTTATAGGGCTTAGGGCCCAGGGTCCGGGTTTTGCGTTTTTAGGGCTGAGGGGTCGGGGCAGTCGATTGGGGACTGCTTCAAGCCACAAAAATTTAGGGTTTAGGGTTTAGGGTTTAGGGTTTAGGGTTTAGGGTTTAGGGTTTAGGGTTTAGGGTTTAGGGTTTACACACGAGGGCCGAAGCCTCCGATCCACCGCTGATAAACGCGTTGCAGTACCTCGGCGCACGGGGGGCTGGCTCGGGAGCGGCATGCGCACTTTGCTTGGTGCAAGGAAGCATGCAGTTGGCTGTTTTCAGTTTAGGGTTTAGGGTTTAGGGTTTAGGGTTTAGGGTTTGGGGTTTAGGGTATGACCCTGAAAATGTTCAAAGCGGCAGGCCAGCGCCCCATCCACCTGGCAGCCCACTGATCCCGCAAAAACATCTGCTCCTACGTCTCGCGAAGGAGCCATTCAAAGACACCCAGGGCAAGCGTCTTAACCTTGAAGCTCGAAATCTGCTTGACGCTTTGTACGCCTGAAGCCTACAAAGCGATGTGGCGCGCAAATCCTCCCTTCCTCCCAAACCCAAGCCCCCCGGCTGCTGCAGAGTCTGGTTGAAGAGCATCCGGAATTTCCCAGGCCGGACGCCGAAGGTGTCCTGGATCTCGTCAGAGAGCTCCTCCAAAAACTTGGGTGTCTAAGGCCAAAAAAACCGATAGGAACGCGAATCATGGAATCAGTAACTCAGCAAGTACACACATAGACACGTATCATACATATGCTACCTCCTTTCCCCCATGTACCCCACGTTTTGCGCCACATGGATAAAATATGACCAATTTCGATGCAAGAGCCTGGGTTTAGGGTTTAGGGCTTAGGGCTTAGGGTTTGGGCTCACATTTCCAAAAATCCAACATTCCACGTTTGCGGGGCCCCTGTCTGCGCGTGGCGGAGCGCATGTCTTTAAACCATGCTTGTTCAACCCTTTTATACTTGTCTGATGCTCTTAAACCACGAAAACCTGAATGTTCCCAAACTTCTCCCAACTCGGAGGGTTTTCCCGAACAGTGAATACCGTGGGTCTCTTGTGGGACCAGTTACTAGCTGGGAGTCAAGCGGAAACAAGGGTTTGGATTGTCACAAGATTGGTTCGGAAATGTTGGGATGCTTGAGGCATTTGTCGGGATTTTCGTAGGAATTGCTGGGGTTTTAGTAGGAATGGTGGGGATTTTTGGCAGCCCGGCCGGAAAACTATGGGTTTTTATTGAGATTTGTTGGGCCGTTTTTGCATTTGTTGGAACTTGCGTGTTTTGTTTGGATTTTCATAGGATTGGTTGGGGTTTCGTAGGATTGTTGGGAGTTTTGTGGGATGTGGGCAGGGATGTCAGTGCTGCAACATACAGTTTCACATGAACAGCCTGTCCACTAAGGTGTTCTTCCTTTTTTAGGTTTTCGTGGAGTCTTGTTGGGTTTAGGTTGGTTTTGGCGCTGGGCTTCTCGTGGTGCAGCCCCCGGGGTTTACAGCAGGACCCTAAACCCCAAACCCTAAACCCTAAACCCTAAACCCATAAACCCTAAACCCAACACAGCTCCAAGACGTGAGAAGACATAGTGCACGGCACTAGACCCGGATGTCAAAAAACGCCGCTCTCAGACACAGACTGGGGTACATGTGCGATGGGGGGGGGGGGGGGGGTAGGGTTTCGGGTTTAGGGTTTGAGGTTTAAGGTTTAGGGGGGTGGGGGGGGGGGGGGTGGGGGGTTGGGGTACTCTATATATGTGTGCACACGTAAAACCTCCTGAATAGAACTACAACCT